TATATATATATATATATATATATATATATATATATAAATATACATATTCCAGCTGTTGATATTTCGTAAAAAAGATATTTTAAAAGTTGGGGACTAAACCAAAATTTAAAATTTTTTGAGGGATTAAAAGCACTGTTAACCTAAAAAAAAGAAACTAGTCCTTCTGTTTCACTGAATAATTTTTAAGGAGAGGAATGTTGCTCCATTCCAAGATCATAATTTGTTACAAGCCTCAACAAGGGTATATTTCAAATGTAATATACTTGAATCACCAGCAAGATTTGTATCACTATTAATTCAGTTTGATCCTTTTAATTGAGCCACCCATATTAGTGCAGTTTGTATCTAGATTTGCACGTAAATTTTCTGACTCTAAACACTCCATATTTGTGTTCTGTTGCATATTTCTGGAAAGAACAACATAAAGGTATATCACTATTATTTTTACTTTACATAAATTTTTGAGTTACTAATAAGTTTTGGCAACTGGTATTTCCACTTTCTTTTTAGACTAAAACATCCCCTTGGACACTTCATGCAGTGATTCTCATAACAACAATGATTTCTCTTCATCCATTAGTCTTTACAAATGAAACCAAGTAGAGGCTTTCCTAGTCATTCCTTCACAAGCTGCAACTTGCTATTTAGGTGAACACACTTTTAATCTGTAGGAACCTTTCCTCTGGTACCTTTTTTTCAGACCACCTCACCATTTTCTAATTCTTTTCACATCAAATATTTTCCAAAATAGCTCACAAGAAAATCTTTTTCTGTAATGCAAAAATATCAAAGGAAAAATGGTTTTTGCCTTTGGTTTTTAATGTTAACATATTGTAGAACTTTGCTTATGCTCATGGTTATTGATTTTTTAATATTTGTTTCTCAACTATTATGTGCTATTCTACTTCCATGTGACACATTTTGGAGGAGATATTTGTTGGTGTTCAATCTATATAACAGCGAGAATGAAATGGATATATGACATTAAGACTTCAGAAATTATTTAAATTTTGGGTCCATCTGCTGAAGTTTTTAAAAAGTTGCTGCTATGATACAACTTTCCGTAAGCTTCTACTTTTAGTGCATGTTTGGATTAAAGTTTGCAAACATAAGTTTGAATCAAAAGTATGATGTAAAATTCAAGTTTGATTAATAACAAAGTATGTTGTTCAAAAGTACACTGTTAAAATGATGTTTTTTTTGGATAATACTAATCAAAATACTTGTACTTGATGTTGCTCCAACAAAAATGCAAACCAGAAGCGCTAACGGAGAACTGAAATTTTAAAAGCAACCTTGATGTTGCTTTGAGTTGAAACTCAATTTACTAGCAAACTTAAGTGAGCAGTGTGCTTTGTTGTCAAGGATTCGAACTTTGGCGTATGTCTACAGAAAAACACTTGTTAGGAAAAGTCATACTCCTAAATGGATCTCTTTACCATGAAAGATTATTCCGTAACTTCCGGTTAGGAGATATCCTAGTTCACTAAAAAAGGGGGGAAAAAAACACTTCTCAAGTATCTCTGTTATACTATCTTTATTTTTCTACCTCTTTGTTTTCTGATCTCATGGAAAGAGAACAAACAACTCATTCAAGCAGAATCGACTCAACAACAATCTTTCCATTTAATTCAATTCAATCTTTCTTTTACCTACAATTTTTATTCCTGGCTCATAAAACATTAAAATAGTGTTAGATAGTTATAATATAACTGACCTTCTTTAGATGAGCTTCTGTTTGGATATAGTGTGAAGCTTATCAGTCTTTGTAAATTTTCATTGGTTCAATACAATTTACATTTTTAGAATTCTATACAAATCAAATGAGAGTTGACTGCTATGCAGCACTATCCGTGATTGGTAAGTATGTATGTTCTAAATTCTAATTGAAAGTATGCTTTTCAAAAAACAATTTTTAGTGATTTTCAAAATAAATTTCCTTTTGTACATGGCATGAGACTCTAGGGAAGAGATAAATGAGAAGATCGAAAGATGGAGACAAGCCCTGGAAGAACATGGCTTGCGGATAAGCCGAAGTAAGACGGAATATATGGAGTGTAAGTTTAGCTCGCGGAACACAAGGGCAACTCAGGAGGTGAAGATTGGAGAGCAAGCAATAACAAAAGTCCCAAGGTTTAAGTACTTGGGATCTATTGTTCAGCAAGATGCAGAGTTGGAAGGCGATGTACATCATAGGATCCAAGCGGGTTGGATGAAATGGAGGAGGGCGTCCGGGGTGCTATGTGATAAAAAGGTGCCTCGTAAGCTTAAAGGAAAGTTCTACCGTACTGCTGTTAGGCCGGCTTTATTATATGGGACCGAGTGTTGGGCCGCAAAGGGGCAACAAGAGAATAAACTTCATGTAGCAGAGATGAGGATGTTACGGTGGATGTGCGGACACACGATAAAAGATCGGATTAGAAATGAATGCATCCGAGAAAGTGTGGGGGTAGCACCTATTGTGGAGAAGTTGGTTGAGTCCCGTCTTAGATGGTTTGGGCATGTGTGGAGGAGACCGGCTGACGCACCAGTGAGGAGGGTCGATGAGATGGAGGCTACTGTTGGAGCTAGAAGGAGAGGAAGGCCTCGGAAAACTATAGGGGAAACAGTGATAAAGGACATGGAGATCAATGCCTTATCAAGAGAGATGATTTATGATAGATCCCTATGGCGTCGTTTGATCCATATAGCCGACCCCACCTAGTGGGAAAAGGCTTGGTTGTTGTTGTTGTTGTAGTAAATAGTAATTTTATATTGGCACGGTCATCAGAATTTTCTATTGGTATCAATCCATTTGGATGAAAATTAATTCTGATGGTTTGTTTCAAGCAATTCTCGTCAAGCAGGTTGTGTTGT